TGTTGGAAAAAAAGATTATATTTTGCACATGACTGAGGTTTAAGGCAGTTAATGAAATTAAAGCAAAGAACTCCCAGCACAGTAGGAAACCTGGATAACAGAAACAGGCATTTAGTCAGCACATTTATGTTCCCATGGGGGCCGAGGCTAAATATCAGGGCCAGGTTGCATCCAGAGGGGTGAGGAGATGACAGCACAACAGTATTTCTCTACACACTGCTCTAGTCAAGTTTATTTACACGTTCTAGAGAAACAATGTTTTTAAAACAGATTTCCTCCAGTGCAGGCTAGGAAGTGTAGATAATGGAGCCATGTATTTGCTCTATCAAGTTTTAACAAAATTTGCAGTGTTTGAAAAGCAGCTTAGGCAGTTTATCCAGTACCATCCATACGGGTCAGCCCTGAGTAATTTTGGAAAAGACGTATCAAAGAAAAAATCGAGTTTACGGAGGGAAAGGTGGAAAGCAGATCCAAGTCTGGAAATTGTCTCCACAAAACAGACACTTTTTTTTTTTTTTTTTCTTTTTCTCCCTGATTTAAGTAAAAGCAAAATAACATTCCACAATCATCAAAGCATGTTCTCTTATCATAGAGTAGGCTTTAGGTTAACAGCATATTTCTTGATCTTTCTCCGTTCCCTTCACTAAACCAGATCATAAAAGGTGAGAAAGAGCAGTTTTGTCTAGAGCACTTTTATGAGTTAAAAGCATTATTTTGTGCTTAAGGCACTGGGCCAGATCTTCGGAACATCTGCTTCAGTTCCTGCCTTTTCCACAAACTTCCTGTGTGACAAAATATATTTGCACTTCAATTCCCTATCTACTAGGCAAGGATTGTGTTGTTTTATTGTTTTACAGAGGTGGTCAGTTCGTGGAGTCTGTGTGAATACCTGCATGGCCCAGTTCAGTGAAACTGTGACTTCAGGCTGTGGACAAGGGTTGATTACCTGGTATTCTGAGTACCCAGTCCCAGCTCTATCACTGTTTTCTGTGGCTTAAAAGTATCTCTCTCAATATATTCACCTGTAATATGAGAATAATGCTGCTTGCTTACTTCCAATGGCAGTTGTGTGAATAAGTTGTTTGCAATGCTTCCTAGCGCTTAGACCTAGAAATGTGATGGAAAGATGGAAATTATTTTGATCACATGAACCCCATCCACTAAGGTATCATCTGCATAGGAGAGGCGTCCTTTCACTGTCAGTTTTGATCCTTCTGCTCACAGAGCTTCTTCCCTGTTGTTTCCAACATGAAAAAGTTCATTCAGACTTCACACATTATTATCTCCTAACTTTCAGATGTACAAATCCAGATGCAACAGTGTGAAAGATGAGGAATGAGTAAATGATGGCTGCAGTCTAATCTTGGCCAGAATGCGGTTAAGATTTTATCTTAACAGTGCCTTTGGTGTCCAGGGAAAGGCACTGACCTGCAGGCAGTCTTATAGCTTGTGCTTAATTGGAATGCTGGCCCTCAGCCAATGGCAGAAAGTCAAGTTGTGAAACAGGAGAAATATTTGAGTCAGCTCCTGAAATAGGTGGAGCAGTCACAGGGAATTAAGTCTTCTTACCACTCACTCTAGGCTACATCTTTCCTTTCAAAGATTTTATTGTTTCTATGAATTCCTGATAATTTTTTTGCAAGATTACAATCTCAGCCTACAAAGCACCCAGAAGATTGGTCCTAGCTGGAAATGATCTGACATAAACTGACAAATTTCTAAGAAGTCTACTTTTCTGTAAGGGCACTGATTCTTTGAAACAAACGCTGCAGACATCTCCTTTGGACAGATAATTTCTGTTGTGGGTTAGTTGAGGAAAATGTTTTAAATTTATACACAGAACCATTACTTTCCCAAACGTAAATATGCTAATTATCTGGTCCTGTTCTTGTAGTGCTATGAATCTTTCCCTTTAATCTTTCATTGAAGAACAAAAATCTATGTTCTCAAAATTACAGATTCAAATGTTGTCACAACCTATTTATAATGCAGTATTTCTTTAAACTGTGTGCTGGTCCTGTTTCTGCCTCCTAACTGAAGGGACATATTTTTCTGTAATGAAGGGGGTTTTTTTCACAGTAATGCAGGGCTCAGCAGTTCTGTGGAGCACTGAGCAAACAGTGTCAATATATTCCTTGAGCTGAAAAACAAAAGGAAAGCAAGCAAGCAGGCTTTTGAGGAAGGATTCAGCTTTTCATTCCAGGGTTCTTACTCACAGCAGTACACATTCCACAAGGCAGCCTGTTCCTGATAAACATAGGGCACACTCTGCTTTCTTGGGAGCAAGCATTTTCTAGTAATTTAAAGGTGAATGTTTGGATTGATGAAATGATAAGCTAGGTGTCTTGAAAGAACACAAGACATCAGGCAATCGTATGCAGATCTGGTCATACTTCCTCTAGAAGCATACCACATGTTGTGGCGTTCCTCAGGGACTCACCCCTGGGTACCCTGAAGTACTTTCTGAGACAAGAAGCTCTGAAGGCTTTTTTCAGGATTCCCCTTAGCCCCAGGGAAATAACCACTAATATTGCTATTGTGGTGAGTCTTGAGAAGAGGATGATCAGATAGTACAACATGGCACCTGCTTCTGGAAAGCAGAATATGAAGAAAAGGTAATAAAGAAGGAGCACTGTGGATTGGGAATGTTTAAACAAGCACAGTGTGTATTCGATGGGAGACAAGAATCCCTTCACACAAGCCTGGAAATACTTAGTAAACAATTAAATGAACAGTGTTGGCTGGTTCTAGACTGAAGGATTGCTTAGGAGGTACCCTTAAGTACTAGGCATAGTTTTTAGAAAGTCATGCCTTTCACCAGACTGTCCATTATAGAAAAGGTTTGTAATATGCAAACAAGTCTGGCTTTTGCTAGCTTTATCAGCTGGTCTAGAAAGAGATTACATCCTGACTCACTTACAGCTTTAGGCTATTGTAGCTACAGCAACATTGCTGCATTTTAATGTTGTTACAGACTCCCTAGACAAAAAGGGTATAAAGGACCAGCTTGTGAAAATCTATGATTCTTCAACAACTTCAGCAGAGTTTTTCTGGTTTACATGAAGTGAGAATCAGGCCTGTATTATACATCAAGTCCTTCTTTGAGGCCACTGTCAAATCTGGTGTGAAAACAGGAGAGTTTCATGAATTTGTTTCAGAGCAATGATCCAGGTAGCTAAATAGAATTGAGCCAGTGAGAGTGGAGATTACAGAGATGTGCAAATGTGTAAAATGAAAAACTGAAGTAGCATCTTGAAAGATTATAAAAAATAGGTCAAATAATACAGTCTGGTGACAAATATTGCAAACAAGTAGGATTTTTACATCTGAAACTCAGTGCAGAGAATTTCATTCTCAAAGAGAGGTCAAATTTCCAGATGCTTCCTGATAACATGGGAGGCACTCTGTGCCTGCATGCAATTCCTCACTTACATAATGCATAGGAAACAAAATGATCTAAACTCCCAAGGCACTTGACCCTGTGTGCAGTTGTCTAGGAACAAAATTATGTACAAAATACATAGATATTATCAGGGCCTTGTATATATCAGGATTCCATAGCAGTGGAACTTGCTGAAGAATTGTGGTCTTGACTCTTGCTTGTTATTAGATATTATATGAAAGGGAGGAAGGATTTTGGAAGTCCTCAAGGAAGTCTCTGTGGTGGCATTTTGCAGACATCCAGTAAATTACAGTCTCGTCCCTAAATAAACACAGACTACAGAATGGGAAGATGCACCAGAAGGTGTAAATCACAATGGTAGTTGCAATAGCTGTGTTTAAAAGGAAAAAAAAAAAGGGGGGGGGGGGGGAGGGGGAAGATGGGAGCATATAAAATGGATAGGTTTCTAGACTGTATGTGTGTTAAAATACCTTTGACGATGACAGCCAAGTATCATTGGTGAGTGTACTGAACTATGATTTTAATGTTATATGTGAGAAGGTGAATTTGGAAAGAAAACATTCCATTTAGAAACAGCACAATTAACCATATCACTGCAGAATAATTCTCTAACTCTGTCTTCTCGCCATATTCATCCCACAAGCCCAGGCTGCCTTCCTTACCATTCCAGGTGTGAAAAGTTCCCTCTGCTCTTTGTCTACTTCCCAGAATTTCCAGCTTTTGCCATGCAAATGTTTTAACTGCCAATAGCCAAATATGAAGAAGTATGGAGAAGGCATAAAATTAATTTATAATGAGTATGAAACTAAAAAGCTTCTTTGGACAATTTGAGTTAATGCTCAAAGTATTTTTTTAGAAACTCTTACTTTTAAAAATATAAATGAAACAGATGTGAGATTTCTAATATGCTATTCCAGAACGATTCATACCCGAGTTCTTAGGTACACATCAAATATGAATATGATTATTTTTAACTAATCATGGATACCAATATTAGCAACATAACTGAAATTTGGTGACATAGGTCACATTCTAGAATCCTGAAAATAGGCCAGCCTATGCTCTGATGACATTTTATCTGGGGAAAAAGAAGACATGCCTTGTACAATTTTTTTCAAAAGTATTACACAAAATAAAAATTATGCATGTATTGTTTTATAGTCCTAGACATGCCTCCATAGTCTGAAGAGTTCTCTTACATGGCCACGAAAGCATTTAAGTTGCATTACACAATTCCTATAGGGAATAATTGTGAGACCACAGTTAAGACTCAAAATTAAGTAAGCCTTCATTATTTCTGAATTAGTATATTTATAATTAAAGGTACTAATTTTCTTCTTGTCCACATAATTTCCCAACCGTCAAACAGTTATTTTATATTTAAGAACTGGATCAGATCTTATGTTCAATTTAAATCCAGCTTCTTTAAATAGATGTTTCTTAAAGTTCAATCCACAACTGTCAGTTAGCAGGTCTAGGACTCATTCACACTCAGGCTAGATAATATTTCATGGTGCTAACAGAGGCCCAGACCATTCCTTTCCTATTTTATTTCAATTTTGACATCAATTTGTCAGTTACCTTTTACATTGCGCAGCCTCAGATTGGAATCAGACTACAGAAACTGCAGCCACAGCATCCCACCAGGACACAGGGAGTCCTGGTGCAGAACCTGTCTGCAGCCCAGGAAGGGGAAGATGAAGCCAGCAGCAACGTGGATGCAAGTCAAGAACTGGACAATGATGCCAAACAGAGCAGAAGTAAACCCTGCTAATGGAGCAGTGCACGTGTGCCTGCGTTGGCACTCCAGTTCGGTGAGTTTGGCACTACGGTTTACAAGGCCATGTCTTAGAGTTACTTTCCCAATCTCTGCTGGAGCTTTCTTAAGAGTTGGTCTGTGATGTGTGGAAAGTGAAACTGTGGATATGTCTCTGCCTTATTCATATTCTTCTAAATATGATTTTATGAATCGCAATGTTGGCTGATAAGGTTCCAGACTGGCACAACTCCATTAGATGAGCAGTTGTCTGTCCTGCTATGACAGGGCTAGTGTGTGTTTGGGGACACCTGATAATTATCCAAAGTGAACAGAGTCAAGTTAAGAAAGCTAAGATGGGAGGAGGTTATCTTGGGAAGGCAAAAGCCAAATGTGCATCTGATTTCATGGGCAGACCATGATCAGACATAGGCAGACCACAATGACGTATCTTGTTACAAGATTTCTAAACTCTGTCAAAATTGTGCCTAAGCACAGCCTAGTCCAACAACTATTTGAGCCTCACCAGGAAAAGGGTAACCTAGAGGAGCACTATAATAAGGAGTAGGAATTCTACAGAACAAAGCAGAGAAGCATTCAGGAGTCAAAGAACAAGTAGTTAATCCCCTAGAGCCTGAGGGGAAACTAAACACCACTTAAAGCTTTCTGAGGCCAAAGAGAGTTTTCCAAACTATCTGTATTAAAGTAGATCCCTCAGTCCTAAACAGCAGTGGCAACTTTGAATATTTTTTTTCCTTTTTGGATTTTTACTTTCCTTTGGGAAAAAAAAAAAAAAAAAGACTTGATGTTCTGTATAAAAGCCTCAAGGTCCACAAAGTACAATCTCCTGTTATGGCAAACAGTCATTTAATAAAAATTTACTCACAAACTGTTGGCAGTCCTTTAAAAATATATTTGGTCTGCTTGCACCTATTATGTCAGAAGGCTGGCTTAGTAACTCCTTGCTCTGCTCTTTAGAAACCTTTTAGCTGTCATTTTGCCAATATCATCTTTTGCAATGAAGATCAAATTCCTTCTATCTATGAGCTTATGTAATTGCTCATTTTAACAATATCACTCTTTTGGGCACCTTAGCAAAATAGGCTCTTTATGCATGTAGTATCCAGTCTCCTGACCAGCCTAGCATCCAGTATCTGAATGTGTTCTATGCACCCAATCCAGATCAAATTAGTTTTTTAAATAATAGTGACTAGAACATGACATTCCAGGGGCCATTTTATTATTTCATATAAAATGAACTTAATATTTCCTTATCTCTGTTAAAATATCTTGCCTCTCAGATGAGCATCACATTTGTCTTTTTCATGTCTCCATGTCAGTCACGTCTTATAATTGGGCCATCAACCTAACACATGGGTCATTGTCCCTGAACACCTCCAGTGGATAAACTGCCAACTTAAATGAGAAATTCTTATTAGTCTTTGCATTTTGTTGGAGTTTAGCACATTTCTAGTACTCCTGACTTAAAAATTTTTCTTGTATGATATTCTGTTCCCTCTCCTTATACAATATTTTGCCACTGTACTGAAAATGCCTCCGACTGTGTCATCAACAGATTTCATTAATAGTCTTTGTGCCAAGGCCATTCATGAGAATATTTTATAATATCGAGTCCCATAAACAGTCCTGGAGGATGTCTCTTTGTAATCTTCCCTGAACCCTCAGTGATAAACCTTTGTTCTCGCTTTCCCTTACTGTCCTTGTCAAACCCTCTTGTTAGTATCATACACATTTGTATTCACATATTCAGGTGATTCCTATACTATTTCATATCTTCACTTTAATTGATGAACTGTATGAGAATGCTTTACAGAAGTCACGATAGATTTACTGCATTTTCCTTTCCTAAATAAAGTTGATTGTTGTCAAAACCAATGCCAGATGGATGTTATCTTTCATAAACTCATACTGCATTTTGTCCTGTTTTTCATTACCTTTATGCCTTGTACAATATTTTCTTTCACAACATGTTCTAAAGCACTGTATACTATTGAAGTTTACAAGTGCATCATCATGTTCTTTCTGTATTGTTAAACACAGAAGTAGTATTTGCTGTACAGGATTAAAAAAATAGCCTCCATTTTCTTTTGGTATCTTTGGCAGATAATCATTAATTTCTGATTTGTTAGCACTGTACAGTGGTCCATTTTTTTAATGATTAAAGACTTTTTTTTCCTTTTTTTTTTTTTTTGGTCTTTTTGTCAATTCATACTTCATTGCTATTTTTTCTGATCTCCAAGGCAGAGAAATTTTAGTTGATTAATTTCCTTTTCCATTTCTTCTAAGATTTTGCTTACTCCCAATATATTTCTCTCAGGTAATTGTTTATCCTGTTATAGCTAGGCCCCTCTTCTAAAACTATGCTTTTTTTTTTTTCCTTGGGATTCAAGTTACAGAAGATTTTTGAATCTCCCACTTACAAATTCTCCCAAATTTTCTCAACATTCAGGACTTTCAGCTATTCAGTCCAGCCTACTTCACCAAATGGTTCACTCTGTTTTATAAAATTTCTTCTTTTTTCCAACACTGCTTTTTGTTTATTTAAAATAATTTAATTTATATTGATCTGATGTAACTCATGATCATCAGACCCCAAATTATTTTATGCTACTGTTGTTCTTTATCCAGCTGGAGCAAAGACCACAGTCCTTACTCAATAGCTCTTTACAGTAAATTCTCAAGCTTTTTCCTTCCCTAGGGTAAATGAAAAACATTACAACAGAAAAATAATGTATTTCTTTATTAGAACAGCACATCTCTCAGTACACGACGGCAACTCTCTTTACAAAGTCTCTGATTTATAGTGATGAAGAGGCTGATTCATTCAATACATAGTCTTTTCTTTCCAATGAAAAAACATTTGTCTCATTTTTTTCAAGACACATGGTACCTATTACAGTGATGCCCACTTTATTCTTTAAGGCTAGAGCCCTACCCCATGAATAATCCTGATAATTTCCAGTGGTCCAAATTTAGGGCATGATATTCTGAGAAAACATAACAGAATCTGACCCTAAAGGAAAGGCAGTGAAGGCTACTGAGGGAGACAAATTTTTACTGTGTTACAAAGGAGTGTGCTAGTAATTGTGGGAAGAAATTCAGGTTAAAAAAAAAAAAAAAAAAGGATATCAGGAAGAAATATACTGAGACCAAAATACACTACAGTCCAGAGACATCTTCCAAAGGGAATCTTGGAAGAAGAAAAGCCTTGTACTTTTAAAAGCAGATTTGACAAAGCAATAGAATATGTCCTGCATTTTTAAGCTGCCTAGCAGAGATTTTTTCCATCTGTAGCTTCCATGTGTCTGTGTTCCCTACCTCCTCTTTCCCTGACAGATGTTCTACTCCTCATTAAATAAGGAAGTAACAGCACCCTTTACTGACTGTTCTTCAGTTTTCACCCATAATTTAACCCCAGATTTCAAGTACTGCTGCACTGCTTCCCACCTGTTCCACTGAAATTAATTCCAGCTAATTTCTGTCTCTTAGGTACTGTTCCTGTCTGTGGCTCATCAAAAGATGGGGAGGAAGAAATGCTACCTACAATTTAGCAGTTCTATGATGAAAAAACTTATTTTTAAGGCAAAGCTTGCAACCTGTGGGTAGGACTCAAAACAAAATGTTTTTTATTCATTCTGTGTAATATCACATACTGAAGTTTGAGGCACCAATGGTAGGTGATTGATTTTTGTAGAACTAGTTCCCATATCTCTAATTTCTTTACAATTTTTCTATGTATATTGTTAGATTTACATGCATTCCCCCATCAAACATTAGGCTGGAGTCATTCTTAATCTTTCAGGGTTAATTAATCCATCATTAGATGGGCCCATGCAGATCCATATGAAATGCTTTCTTTTAAAACCAAGCTTTCTTACATCAGCTTTTGACATTTTATTCACTTCGACAAGCTGATTAATGGTGTCAGCATTGTACATTTGCTTTGCAATGAATACTAAGCAGATGTTATACTGGCTTGTTGCCCCACACTGAGAATGAAGAGGTAAATCCCATGAGACCTTGCTTTTGTTAGTAGGTCAGTTACCAGAAGGTCAAATACTGTCCCTTAGTCTGTTTTATACATAAATATGATATTGCTTAATCTTAGCTATTTCAATTCAGGTCTTCTGGGAGGGGCTTTATATTAGAAGTACAGGGCCAAAAACTGACGTGTCAGACTAGGAAAAACGTCTGCTGACAGTGAGGGCAACTTTTTCTGTAAGGATTCCAGGTTGAACCAGTTGTGAGTTGCTCTCATTATACTTTGCATTTTCTCTCTCAGCAGGCATGCAGGCAAGGTCTGTATGGAGAGGTTACATCTTTTCATCAGGCCAATGAGATGTCACAAAAGAATGTTTCAGGCATGCAAGTACCTTTTTAGGTCTGAAGTGGAAGCCACAAACTTCAAGCTCAATACAGAGCGAGAAGAGAACAGTTCTTCCAAAAAATCAGGATCAGCACCCCTAGGATAAAAGGAAATGTTAGCAAGAGATGAGATGGTAACTCATACATAAGCATTTTCCTTTAACATGGGCTAAACTTCAGAAATGAACCCATTCAAGTAGAACTACATCTGTTTGGCAGAAGAGAATCATAGAATCATAGAATGCTTTAGGTTGGAAGGGACCTTAAAAATCACTTAGTTCCAACCCCCCTGCCACAGGCAGGGCCCCCTTCCCCCAGCCCAGGTTGCTCCAAGCCCCGTCCAACCTGGCCTTGAACCCTTCCAGGGAGGGGGCAGCCACAGCTGCTCTGGGCACCCTGTGCCAGTGCCTCACCACCCTCACAGGAAAGAATTTCTTCCTTATGGGTAATATAAATCTACCCTCTTTCAGTTTAAAACCATTAACCCTTGTCCTATCTCACTCCACTCCCTGACAAAGAGTCCCTCCCCACCTTCCCTGTAGCCCCCTGTGAGCACTGGCAGGCCGCTATAAGGTCTCCCTGGAGCCTTCTCTTCTCCAGGCTGAACAACCCCAACTCTCTCAGCCTGGCCTCACAGGGGAGCTGCTCCAGCCCCCTGAGTATCTTCATGGTCTCCTCTGGACCTGCTTGAGCAGGTCCGTGTCCTTCTGATGTTGGGGGCCCCAGAGCTGGACACAGCACTGCAGGGGGGGTCTTACGAGAGCAGAGTAGAGGGGCAGAATCCCCTCCCTCGACCTGCTGGCCACACTGCTCTTGCTGCAGCCCAGGACACGGTTGGCTTTCTGGGCTGTGAGCACACATTGCTGGCTCACAGTCAGTTTTCCATCCACTCATACCCCCAAGTCCTTCTCCTTGGGGCTGCTCTCAGTCCACTCCTCACCCAGCCTGTATTTGTGCCTGGGATTGAACTGACCCATGTGCAGGACGTTGCACTTGGCCTTGTTGAATTTCATGAGGTTTGCCTGCGCCCACCTCTCCAGCCCATCAAGGCCCCTCTGGATGGCATCCCTGCCCTTCAGCATATCAACCACATCACACAGCTTGGTGTCATCGGCAAACTTGCTGAGGGTGCGCTCAATCCCACTGTCCGTGTCACCAGCAAAGATGTCACGCGGGACAGTGTCAGATGCTTTGCACAAGTCCAGGTAGATGACATCAGTCACTCTTCCCTTATCCACCCACACTGTAACCCTGTCATAGAAGGCCATCAAATTTGTCAGGCACAATTTGCCCTTAGTGAAACCATGTTGGCTGTTATCAGTCACCTCCTTATTTTCTGTGTGCCCTGGCACAGTTTCCAGGAGGATCCACTCCATGATCTTGCTGGGAACAGAGGTGGGACTGACTGGCTTGTAGTTCCCCAGGTCTTCTTTTTTTCCCTTTTTAAAAATGGGGGTTGTTTCCCCTTTTCCAGTCAGCACGAACTTCACCTGACTGCCACAACTTCTCAAATATGATGGATATTGGCTAAGCCACTTCGTCTGCCAGTTTCCTTGGGACTTGCAGATGCATCTCAGCAGGTCCCATGGACTTGTGCACCTTCAGGTTCCTTAGATGATCTCAAACCTGATCTTCTCCTACAGTGGGCAGGTCTTCATTCTCCCAGGCCCTGACTTTGCCTTCTGCATCTTGGGTGGTGTGGCTGGAGCCCTTGCCAGTGAAGACTGAGGCAAAAAAGCCACTGAGTACCTCAGCCTTCTCCATATCCTGGATAATCAGGTCTCCTGTTTCCTTCTGGAGAGAGGCCACATTTTCCCGAGTCTTCCTTTTATCACCAACATACCTACAGAAGCTTTTCTTGTTGCACTTGATGTCCTTGGCCAGATTTAATTCTGTCAGGGCTTTGGCCTTCCTAACCTGCTCCCTGGCTGCTCGGACAGTTTCTCTGTACTCCTTCCACACTATCTGTCCTTGCTTCTGCCCTCTGTAGGCTTCTTTTTTGTGTTTGAGCTTGTCCAGGAGCTCCTTGTTCATCCGTGCAGGCCTCCTGGCGTTCTTACCTGACTTCCTCTTTATTGGGATGCAGCACTCCTGAGCTTGGAGAAGGGTGATCCTTGAATATTAACCAGCTTTCTTGGGCCCCTCTTCCCTCCAGGGCTTTATCCCATGCTACTCTGCCAAGCAGACACCTGAAGAGGTCAAAATCTGCTGTCATGAGGTTCAGGGTAGTGAGCTTGCTGTGCAACCTCCTCGCTGCCCTAAGGGTCTTGAACTCCACCATTTCATGGTCACTGCAGCCAAGGCTGCCCTTGAGCTTCACACTCCCCATCAGACCCTCCCTGTTGGTGAGAACAAAGTCCAGCATAGCACCTCTGCTCATTGGCTCCTCTATCACGTTGAGAAGGAAGTTATCATCAGTGCATTCCAGGAACTGGAGTACTGTGTTCAGCTCTGGAACCCCCAACATAAGAAGGACATAGACCTGTTGGAGCAAGTCCAGAGGAGGGCCATGAAGATGATTTTTTTCCCTAAGCATAGATATCCTAGTTACTTGCATTTCATTAAAATAAGTCCTTCTCTGACTTAAACAACCAATGCATTTTAAGCCTGTTTGTTTAAACTATTGAAAGTTTATATGCACTAAAACCCTAAATGTGTCTTTTTCTTGCTGAAGACCTTTTATGTCCCCGGTGTATCTTTCCCTGTGTAAGCTGAGAGTCTCAATTGTGACATAAAGTGCTTTCTAATAGAATTCATCGCCTTCCAGTTGACTGTACCCTTCCCCTTGAATATGGATTTGCAAGCAAGAAAGCTATTGAAAGGTCAGGGGATAGAGAGATGAAGCACCCTGAACGGAACAGCACTTGTTCCTTCTGCCACTTCCAAGTTACTGACTTCCTTGCTGTCTCCATGCATTAATTTGCATAATAGAGGTGATCATCTGGTCTTTATTACGGCAGATTAAGTGTAAATCAGTTACCGAAATGTAAAAAACATCTAGGGAACTCTTTGCACACTGGCATACAAATGAAGGTCCCAGTGCTGCCTAGGGATACTGGAGGTGGCAAACAAAAAATACTAGCATTGCTGATTGACTTTCATTGTTGCAACTTGTATCAGAGGCTACAGGAGGATTTTGCATTCTTTGTGAAAGAAGTGTTTCTTTTAGTTCATCTCCCTTCTCCTGTTGCTGTAAAGTTGTTTAAGAGACTGGACTTCATATTTCCGTATATAACTTGCCACCAAAACCATCCCCATTTTTGACACCCTCTCCTAAGTGGGACTCCAAGCTGGGAGATTTCTGCTTCCACTGAGATATAATAATGTACTTAATGGCCTTCTTTTAAACACCAAACCTAAAGAAAAGACCCTCCTGATTGCAACATTTTACTGAGCCATTATGCTTAGAATATCTTTCCGGTTTCTCTGGTGAGACACTATTTTACTTCTCAACTCAAAACCAGCTGCAGGCTTTTATTCCTAACATTTAGAAATAAACAGAAAAGTATTGACCACACGCCTGCTCAACCTTTTGACCGGGATTCCCTGCCTTTCATTTTTGCTAGAGCAGGCTAGGATGCCATGCTTCCTCCATCACTTAACAGAACTACTGCACATACACACTCAGTCCAGGACCTCCCAGGAAAAAGCCACACATCTTTGTTGCTGTGCCTCTTTCCAGAAAGCCTGCCAGTTACTGCTGTAACCTTCAGATGTTCAATACAGTAATCTCCTTCCCTTTAAGTTTGCCCATAAAATATAGTGAACCTTTTTCTTCCCATCTGCTGCAGATGCTGTCCAAGTTTTTCATGACTCAAAAAAAAATTTCACTAACATTTGTAGAAGTCACATCTCATTCACAGATGGAGAGATTGAAACTACTGGGTTGCAATCTCATCCAGCAACCACCATATTTCCTGTGAAGTCTTGCAATGAAGCACATTGAAGACTGTGTCAGGAGAGAAACTGGGGTGTTGCACTTTAAGAGGAGTGTGTGTCATATTTGCCCCATATAGCTGAAAATGGAAAGGGGCTAGGAAACTGAGTATTGCCAGTCATAAATTTCAAAAAACACTAAGGCTGAAAATGCAATGCTATTTTAAGATGCGGGGCCAAGGAGTGTGAGTCTTTCTTCTATCTTTTCGTTTTATCAAACTTTCTGGTTGATTTGGGCCATCTTTTTTTTTTTTTTTTTTTTTTATTTGGATTTTGATTCTTGAAACACTTGCACAGTCATTGCTTGCCATCATCCAAATACTGGTGACAACACCAAACAACACAAATTTCCTGGGTTTTATAGTAACCAGAAATGCCATTCTTCAGGCAAGAAGCATTGGCCTTATGCATAACACTTGGATTTCATATAAAACTGTCCTATTCTTTAAATTTGATCATATAGTCTCATTTTCATCTATATCTTTATTTGTATAGTACAATATTTCTTTTAAAGCTTTTGATATTTTCAGGCTTCCTCCCATTTAAAATGATAATTCTCTGCTATTTCAGTTAAATGTTACACCAATTTTCTTGAAGCTGAGTCATTTTTGCCTGCAGTTCTAGCTCTGTATTTCATTAGCACAAGTTAGAGCTGTCCATCAGCAGCACACTACTTAAATTTGCTCAAAAGATATAATTGGCTTTTTATCATTGATCTGGTGTTTTTAGAATATATTTTCACATTTTGATTCTCCTCTTGTCACCACAAATCATTTTGCATCTGATAACATACTCATCACAGTACTGATGTGGTGGCAGCTCAGCTCAGATAAGTTTGCTTTGGTGGGACTACAATCAATCAGACAAAAAAAATCAGGCTGCTCTCCAAATTCTTTATTGGGAAGAGATAGAGCTGATACCAATATGTTTATGCTCTGATTCACAATTTTAAGAGCAGACAAAGTATAAGCTCTTTAAAAAACCTGAATTTAATTGCTATGGAAGTTGCTAATCTCATCTGCAAAACCAGAAGAATGTCTCTATTTCTGAAACAGAAAATTTTGCTTGAAGTTCTTCCTTTTGGATCTTACTTTCCAGACGTTGTCTTCACAGGACCCAGACTGTAGAATTTTAGTCTCACCTCAAGTTTCTGTTTACATCTGAGACTCCCCTGTAGATAGCATTAGGCACAAATATATTACAACTAAACATTATGTTGTTCTTTGACATTGATGAATAGTATTTTGACATAGTATTTTCTTTAGGTTGGATGTGAAGGCCTGAAACATTTGACACTTAACTCCTCTCTTTCACCTTCATAAGGGTGAAAGAAAGCGTGCTCCTGTTTATTTTCCTAATTTTATAGATGTGATCTGTTCTCCTCAAGAATGTAAATATATCAGTAAAAATCTGCATCGTTTGAGGAGCCAGACATCTAAAATTTTTCTAGTTACCATTGGTCAATGAGATTGGAAGCAGGAATCAGTGTAAAATCAAATTATGATTCAACCTGATACAGTGACTAAAGTAATTCAGAGTCAAGAATGAGTAAGGATGCAGGCAGAGAAGAGGACAAGAACAATATAGGCAGGATACAGAATCTGGAGGAGGTGCACAGGTCATGACAGATTGTTTCAACCTGGGGTTTGCATAGAAGAAGCAAAGCTAAAAAAGGGAAACTTGAAGTCCTGACAAAAATGTAAATCATTTAAAAGAATGTGGAGGACAATACATTAACTTTAAAATAGCAATTAAATGTATGGAAATAATTGAAGCAGCAGACTCATGGTTCCTGATTCAGCAAAATATCTACAGACTTAAGTTTAAGTATGGTCTTCACTCCCACAGATGCTAAATCCATGACTAAAATCCTTCCCATGCTTATGTGCTCAATTAATCCTATAGTAATCATAGTCTCCTCCTTCAGATTTCACTGAGCCGTAGGATTCACTGCATCCAGGGAATTTAGACTGCTCAGTACTTCAAAATACTGCTTTTATTTCAGAGTAACAAACCCATAGTTACAAGACACAATTCGTCTTTAATGTTCTTCTAACTGTTTTTCTTGAAGAACCTTAGTAGTACTGGGCATTCATCCAATAAACATGAACTCATTCAAGGGTAGGAGACAGTATGAGATTCTTCCTAATATTTTTGTTCTCTGTTACTCTGTTTAAATAAGAAAAAAACAGGGTTTTTTTCCCCAGCATACCTGAATTGGTTCACATATACAATGCAGTAAAAACATAAAATAAAATTGTTCTTGGAATTTATGCTACCATTTTCCCTGATAATGACTTTAGGCACAGTAAAATTAGCAGTTGTTTCTTACCAAAATAACCTGCAACTAAATGTTAAGTGTTTATTCTCTTTTAAAAACACAAATCAATCCGCAACCAAGTAACTCTAGAGTGTCAAATAAATGTGCTTTATGTACAATGATGAGGCTCCTATCTGAAGTGAATTAAAAATTAATGTTAGGTACATATATTGTGGTGGTTTTGTAAATGTGTTTCTGAGGATGAGATTAATTACATCCATTGAGGTGAATACTATACAATCAATACCCATTTTCCTTCCTGAAAGGATGAAATAGAATCCATTCTGCAACTGGGACTTTGTTGTTATTCTTAAAAAAATTCATCATAATAGGCAATTAAAATGGGAACAAATTAAAAATGAAAACAAAGAGAGGAGAAGCAGGATTTTACAAATACCAAATGAGATGAAAATGAGTAGCCAAGAGCAACAAAAGCTAGATCCTAAGGCCTAGGTCCTGCAGCCTTTTTTAGTACCACACATTTAGCTAATGCCACAGAGCATACTGCAGGATTCTGGAAGTGTTTGGAAGATCAGGCACCAACCATTCGGCTTGGCTGTAGGTTAGTAATAACAACAGTTAATAAAATAACATTTGAAATATCATGTAAACTCCTGAAGTGCCAGAGATGTTTCCTGAAGTTACAGAGATGTAGAACTCATGATAGCTTAAATTACTCAAAATTTTTCATGGGTTTTAAAATACTATGAAACCAGTTATTAAAATGTGTTTTCAAAAAAGCAGAATTATGGCAAAGGAGAACAATAACATTTTCAATAACAGTTCCTGTTTTACTTCAAATACTTTAACAATTAATAAGAAATGGGTGGGCTTTTGTTCCGGTGTTGTAGCTGTTAAATTATAAAGCCGTGTTTCAATTAATAATTCCTTTATAAACTATGAAGCCTGGACAGTTTTAGAGATGGCATGTTTTTTTCCATGGCATATGTCAAACCCACCTGCTGAGCTGGATCCAGTTATTCAGAGGCAGGACACTGGATCTATCCACTCTCAGGTAAAAGGGCTACTTACCTAATCAACACAGAAGTCAAAGATTTCCTTTAACATTAAATGATCTTTTCAGAGTGGCACCAAAATAGCCCCGTATTGTGGTACAGAAGTTCGCATTTTCAGTATATCTGCTGGATGGTTCACTGTGTCCAGGAGTGTTTAATCCAGCACAGCTTTACAAGAATACTAGGAGGGACTAAAATAGGGCAGAAGACCTTATTCAGGTCCCTCACTGGAGTGAACTTTACTCTTGTTAAACTCCTGTAAAAGATAGAAAACATTTTGGCTAAAGAAAATTCTGCAATTTAGTTTACTTTTGAGTATTATATGCTTAAAATTATTTGCATGCTTAAGTGTGACATCTCAGCAGATTGCAAGATCTAACCTACATACTGGACTTTCTAGAAAGCACTTCCACAAAGTTAATGTGCATAAGTGAGGCATCTGTCTCCCGTTTTTCTGGCATTAAGACCTCTAAATTTATCAGCCAACTTTGATTATACTGCTACTGTAGCTGTAATGTAAAAAACTCTAAGAATATGCTCATTAAGCAGATAGCATAATCCTTCTGGCTGGAATTCCACCATAAGCAGTGGAATTTGATTTCTGGAAAAAAAGGTAAAGCGATATAATATTTCAGTGGATAGCAGAAAGAAACTGTGAACCTGAGTATAGATCTAGACTTGCTCACAAGTGATTATCTGGGAACAGTGCTAGTAACAACTTTCAGGTGTCTGCTGACATCAGAAAGGAGACATACGGTCTTTAGATGCACATTGTATTAGCTGGGTGGGTAAGCCTTTGTATTTACAGTCACAGAAAAAAATCTAGTGCATATGTGAGATTTAAAGATTTAAGGGATAAGAAGATGGAGGTGCTAGCAAAGATCTGACGTGTTAATATTATGAAGGAAGTCAATGATTTGTCTGCTTTAAATGCATTATTCCTTTTCTTCAAGTTCAGAAGAACTAACCTCTTCAGAATAAATTCTTATTTCAGTTAGAGACACGGGTAAGTAACTACAGAAACTAGAAAGCCAAAAATCAGTTTTGCTCATGTAGAACATTCAGTGTCACTGCAGGACTCTCCTCCATAGTACACTATCTGCTGTCTTAGAATTGTCATAATTCAGGTTGGAAGAGACCTCAAAGCAGGTCCAATCAGAGCACGTTGATCAGAGCCACATCCAGGACAGTCCTGAACATCTCCAAAGATGGAGATTCTGCAACTTCTCTGAGCAACCTGTTCCAGTGTTTGACCACCCTCATGGTATTTTTTTCTCCTTTTTTCTGGATTATGGAATTTACCAGGTTGCAACCTGTGCCATCACCGTGCACTTCCAACACGAGGCTAGTTCCATCTTCCAGTCCTGTCCTGCAGTCAGGTATTTGTAGGCAGCAACAAGGTGTCCCCTTAGCATCCTCTTCTCCAAGCTGAAGATATCCAGCTCTCCCAGCTTCTTCATGCGCATCATGTTCTGCATCTCCTGACCGTTTTGAAGGACTTCTGGTTGACTCTCTCCTGTATGTCAATATTGTTCTTGTACTGGAGGGAGCCCAAAACTGGACACAGTACTCATATGAAATCTTATGAAAGAACACTTCCCTGGCCCTCTTGTTAATACAGCTCAAGACACTGTTGACTGCCTTTTCTGCGAGGACACACTGCTGACTCATATTCAAATTGTTCACTAGAACACCCAGGTCCTTTTCTGCAGCGTTGCTTCCAAACAGCCCCCAGCCTGTACTGTCACATGGGGATACTCCTTCCCAGATGCAAGGCCTCGCAATTGCTCTTGCTGGACTCCAGAAACTTTGCATCAGCCTGACTCTCGAGACTGTGGAGCTCCCGCTGAATAGCAGCCCTGCCCTCCAGCTGAATTCAGCTTTTGAAATACAATAAAAGAATGTAAAAGCTAGAGAGACACAGTGGGAAAGAAACCCTGTACATCAGAAGCCTCTCAAGGGAAATCAGAGAACCAGATGGAGATGATAGTTTCATTTACCTCTAGAAGTTACTCACAATGGGAAGGAAACATTACAGAAATGCTTAGTTGGCTGAGCATTCTTCTATCAGCAGTAAGAAGTTGGTTTGATCTTCTGTCTTACCATCTTGAAAAAAAATATTTGTGCTGGTTTCTTACGATGTACTGACAATTTGCCTTATGATATTGGTATTGTGTGGTATTATATTTGTGTTTGCTTCCCACAACATTTTAATTCTGTACCTGTTTTGATTTGATGACAGGGACAGGTCTGTCACAAACTAAAGTGGAGTCTTTATTATGCAGTTCTGTTTCCCCCAGAGGAGCTGCCTGGGAACTCTCATGAACTGAAATATGCAGTACTCTGCTGCTGGTCTATTTAAACTAATTTTGTGCTGAAATCTTAGAAGGAAGATTCTGAAAGCCACTGAGACCACCTGGATTTATCTAATTCTTCAGATTCCTTTTGTTACATAAAAAGCATGTATTAAGACAAGTCATCTAAACAGTTGCATTGCTAGTGGAACCATTTTCCTAATTCTCTGGCTCTGTAGATTCCATATATCTTTAAGGCTTTTAGGGTGTATAACCTTTCATAGTTTGACACAACTTCGGTCAGGATGGTGTTCCCTTTGCAAAATATGTAACTTAGGGCTCCACGTAAACCATTTGTGGTCAGGGAATGTGGCTTCGGGACAAACTTCCAAGATAGATTAAGCAAATTCGGCCTTTGGCTGCTTTTAGGAATTCTGCAAGTTTTCACACCCCTTTTAGAAATCAACCCTCTTAGAGATCCAGATACCCTTTTTACATGAAAACCTTTTGAACAGTCAAATCAAGCTAACAGAACACCCCACACAGCCTTCACAACAGAAAATAACACAGGAAGAAACCTCTGTCAGGTCCACTAGAGACTGTTATTGATTTATGTGTAGGCTGCTCAGATGCTGCTGTTAATGCATGGCAGTACTAAGCCACAAATTATTCAAGGAACAATTTTTCCAGTACACAACAAATACCACTAATGATTAGTGATCCTAGGAACGTGCTCTCTGTAGTACAGAAAGGATGTTATTGTAGTGATATAACTGCTTCACATGACCTGTGGCATGAACTTCTGTGTCTGGTGAATGGAAGACAAAGGAACGCATATAAATTACTTTTGATTCATCTTCCATTACCCATTGCAGGATGTCTTGGTGACTACTACATCTTACAAGCTGACTTAAAACAGCCTCATCTGAGATATCCTTCCACTGACTTTGATCTCAGTGGGGTCTCTTTGTGTGTTGCTAGAAAGGTTTCAAAAGGAGAAAAATAGGAAATGTACTAAAATCCTCATGTTTAACATTCCCTAAATATATGAGAAGCCACCTCCTGGCTGCTCTGACACAAATGTGGGCCAAACAAGTACAGAACGTGCATAAAAATTTTGCTTTGTTATTTTTGTAAATGAAATTATTCTAGATTATTCCACAATTTGGCACAAGTGGTATGGTTGATATGCTCAAGGAAGGAGAGAGAACGCTCTGCATGTTTCTTGGTGAAAAAAGCCTTAGTAAGTCCTGGGCATGGACTTGAATGTAGTTCAGTTTTCAGCATCTTAGCAGGGAACAGTAATGATGAAACAATCAGTATACATCATCTAAATAGTTCTTCAAGCAATCGTGGACTGGGTGAGACTGACTCCTGAGATGCTCTTCCTGTCATTTTGGTGTGGTCAGCGCTGGACACCACTGGCCAGGAAAGCAGTAACTGTAATTTCTTCATTAAGACACTTTTTACAGTGGAGCCACTGGAGCTGGTGACCACCAGGACATGGAGTTGACTTGCAACAGCCCTTCCACAGCAGAAGGGATGAACCACTGGCAGAGAGGCCAGTCTCTGGAAGCTGGGGAGTCCCAAATCCCCTCTGCCTCGCGGTGAGAGTGAGCGGGGTCAGCAGAGGGCTGAGAAGGTTTAGATTCTGAAGCGGAAAGAAACATGAAATGATGTCCTTGTGGGGGCTGCTCCCACCCTTCCCGTTGTCCCTCCACCCTTGCTGGGAGTAGGCAGGACTGGGACTGTGGCTGTGGGCGTGCGGACATGAGGAAGTTTCACTGCCATCAGAACAATACATTCCTTTCCTTTCCCACTGAAAGACACAAAACGAGGTGCTCTGTTCCATGATGATGATACTACAAAGGTGATTCTTTGATCCTACCAGTGCTTAGGGTGCTCTTCCCTGCAAAATATGCTTTGACAACTGCAGGGAACTCATTTTGTATAGGAACAGCTCCCCTAAGTCTCTCCAAATGTGCTATTTTGCCTTCTCGTTGTGATTTCAAAACTTGAAAGTTACTTTTTTTTAAAAAAAAAAAAAAAGTATTTATCCCCCATGGGTGGAATTTAGCCTCCAAAAGCAAGCCTCTCCAGCTACACACGGTTAACGTCCAAAAGCTAGGTGCCAATAACTAGAATTGCGACGCCTCGGGACTTCATTGTTAGTCCCTTGCTTTTCTAGAGCCGAATCGGTGTTTCTGTGTGGAGACCCACGGGACCAGTTCATCCTCTCCTGTTAGCAGCAGCACTACTCGTGCTTCCAGGGAGGTTTGGGGGTTTGTTTTTGTTTTGTTTGGTTTTTGTTTGTTTGCTTGTTTTTTGTTTTTGTTTGTTTGTTTTGTTTTTTTTTTTCCTCAGACAATTTTGCCTCGCTTAATCCCTGCTTGGACAAAAAAGCGAGACGCTCTTGGCCAACTCGCCCCGGAGGACTGAGGCGGAGCCAAGAGGCAGGTCGGTGCTCGCCTCCCCGGGGCTCCGTTTCGGGGCCGTTCAACCCCGAACAGGCCGCCCCCCCCCCCCCCCCCCCCCCCCCCCCCCCCCCGGCAGCGCCCAGGGCGCGGTTGGGGGGACGGGGAAGGCGGGGGGGGGCGCCAGGCTCCGCGGGGGCCGCCCGAGGAGGAGGAGGAGGAGGAGGCGGAGGAGGCGGAGGAGGAGGCGGTGGCGGGGGGCGGGTGGTTTCGGGGGGCGGCAGGAAGCGGGGCAGCCCCGGGGCCGGCGGGGGCCGCGCCGCGCACCCGGAAGCGGTTGGGCGGGGGGGCGGTTGGGCGGCGCGCGCGGGCTGGCTGGCGGCCGCGGTGGGGCAGAGACGCGGCCCGGCCCGGCCCGGCCGCCCCGCAGCCCGCGATGCCCTCGGAGTGTCGGCCGCGCTGCCCACGCCGCGGGGCATGGTGAGCCCGGGGCGGCCGCTCCCCGCGGGGACCCGGCAGGCGGCCTCTCCGTTCCGCCTCAGCCTCCTCCTCCTCCTCCTGCTGCCGCTGCCGTGGGGCACCGGGGCGCAGAAAGGTGGGTGCGGGCGGGCGAGGGAAACCAACCGTCCGGGGCTCTGCTGCGGGGAGCGGGAGCCGCCACCTCGGCTCTCCCCCTCCCCACCGGCGTGTGGCCCCACACCCCGAGCCTGCCCCCTCCCTGCCCAACAAAGGGTAAGAGAGGAGCCCCCTTCTTGGAAACCCTCTTTTCTTCCTCCCCCACCCCCCCCCCCCCCGCGATGTGGGGTGCCCGCCCCGTCGGGGGGCGTGGGGGGTTCCCTCAGGCAGCCCCCACGCCCCCCAAGTGCGGGGAGGTTGGCCGGGGGGAGCTGGGGGCGGGAGGGCTTCCCTCACCCGGGCGGGACGGGGACGGGGAGACGGGGGGGCCGCGGGGCTAGCCTGGGGGCACAGGGGCCGTCCGGGGGCCGAGGGTGCGGTGGGGTTTGGCGTCTTAAACGCCGTCCCTTTTCGGGGGGAGGCAGCCCGAGCCGCGGGTGACCCCTCCTGGGTTTTTCCTCCGCAGGCTCGGTGTGAGGTGGTGGTGGGAGCCAGGAGGGGGTGATGGGGATTCTGCTTGCTGTGAAAATAAACTTCCACGCGCCCGAGAGTATGTTGAAACCTATATAGGGGTGAGAGTCCGGAATGTGGGATAGACGGGGTTCTTCGGTTTGTTTTGTTTAGAGAAAGCGGCGAGGTTTCTCCTCCTCGGGTGGAATTACTGATTAGGCTTTCGCACTTGAAAATTGCGAGGCACAGTTTGGTCACTTCATGGCAGAAGGTCAGAGGGTGCCACAGTAACTGTCGCTTTGATCATATGCTCGGTAGAATGTGGTGGGAGTGAATGTTTTGACAGCATCTCGAACCTTTCACTTCTGTGGATACAGGGGTTTAAAAGAGAAATTTTAATAGTTTCAATTCCGCTTGCTTGCACTGGTCTTGCTTCAGTTTGGAAACTCAGCTCTTTCCACATAACTTTCTGTACGTTTCAAAGAGAGATGGAAATACATTTGAATGTCACAAATGCTGCATTTAAATGCACAAAGGGAATCGGAAATACATGCACTGTACTGTTAAGCATACGTGTTAATTAATTTTTTGAATGGAAAAAGGTCAGAGATGTGTCTATAGAGCAAGCTAGTCATGTTGACTTATATTTTCATCTTATTTCCGGCTAATTGCATTTAATTTTAAGTATATTCCTATTCACGTACAAAGCTAATGCCAGTAAGAATTTGGCATACCTGGTTTTGTTTTGTTTTAATTTATAAGGGAGGAGGAGAAGACCCATTTGGTTTTGGGAGGCAATTGGGCAATTTTAACATCCAGTCTTCTGAAGGCTGCTGCTTGGTGAGTCAGGCAGCAGCAAGGTGTTAGTTCATGCAGTAGGAGCATCGCACTCCAAATACTTGTGCTGACCTGACACTTGTCTGACCTTTTGGTGAGCAGACTGAGTTTGTTATTCTAGCAGAAAAATGAAATAGCTGGGCGGGGAGGGGAGGGAAAGGGAAGGGAAGAGTCATCATTTTCCTCCAGATTATTAAGTCAAATTGTCTCAGTGAGAGGTCAGAGGTGTGCTGGAGGGAGTGGGACCATGCAGCAAGAAGTGGGACCACGTGGACAACAGGCTTTTAGGTGTGCTGTTCACTTTATCTTTCTGTACTCTGAGAAACTGCTGAAGAGCATCTACCCAGAATTTCAATTTACAGTGTCCCTCTAGTTAACGCTTAACATTTGCACAGAAGTCTTGTTCTTGAGCAGAAGGGGAACCTCTTTACTGACAAGCTTCATTTTATTTGCTAACAAAAAGCAGAGTTTGTTTTAAGGTTAAGGTCTCTAGTGTTGTTGAATATAATGCTCTTCAGTATGAGAAACTGTTGGAGCTTCTAAGAAAAGTTCTGCTTGTGAGGGACTGTTTCCTTGCCAAAATATTTTCATTTATCTTATTCCAGAGAGGGTTGGGGAGCCCATATCCTGTATCTTTAAATGCTGGCATAGTTCTGATTTGGTTAAGGAGTTCCATACAGAAATGAAACGGCTGTCTTGCTCATGAAGGGTCTGCACAAAGCTGTTACTACATTAGTGTATTAAATATATGCACAGGCTTCTAAGAGAATATGTTGATTACCAGTGAAAGTACCCAAGGCTTAGGAAATTCCACAGTTAATGTTGCTTTTAAACTCTTTTATAACAGTAAGCGATACTATGCAGGAACC